GTATAGAGATTTCGTTTTTCTTGCCGTGCCCGTTTAGAAATTGTGTACAAGTTTTGTTTTATTTTACTCGAGCCCTTATAGGAAATTGTGCGATTGATGCCGCGCTTTTCGAAACGCATCATATAAATGTAGCGTATGTATTGAACGATGATAAAGAATGCTGGTTTGTGAAACGGCTTCGAGCTCGGTAGACGGTGTGTGGATAGTGAGTGAGGAGGAGGAGTGAGGAGGAGGAGGAGGCGCAGCAACTCGAACAAAAAACGGTCGCTCGCGTCCCTCCCTCGCGTGTCCTTCCCTCGCGCACATACACTATCGTTTTATCTCGATGTTTCATTATGCGTATATAACACATATACATATACATATATATACGCGCGTTCCACAGCGAGATCGCGGATTTAGCTAGCGCACAGCCGTTAAGCGGTCCAAATGCGATCGAACGTGTATAATATACGAAAGACGATCTTCAGCTCGCTCTTCGTAATATTTTTTCACATTTGCGACATCTCTCCTCATTCCGAGTGAGAATACGACGACGACGACAGTTGTTGTCTTTATAACCGAAACGTAGAACTATCTTTTCGATTACACCGTGTCGCTTTCAATCTAGCGAAGGGTCGAGAGAATGTTTCGCAGTTTTCCACCGGTTAACCGTAACACGGCGCGCGCGCCTTAGTACGATCGTAGTCACTCTTAGCTACGACGACGACGACGACGAAAGCGCGCGCCTTGTACAACCGGTCTTAATACGTTAGACGTATATACATATATATTTATATAACAACACCACACACACGCGCGCACACACACTCACACGCACACTCGTACGTGTACGCGCGCACGTCGAACACACAAATATACAAACACAATACGGTTTATTCATTTTCCCGTGTGTGTATACATATTTACGTGTGTGCATGCGTGCGTGTTCACGGCGGGCGGATGGTGTGTGTGTTGTCGTTGTATTGTGTGCTGTGTGCTGTTCGTTGACAGCATAATATTAAACGTGTATGTGTGTATGTTTTGTCTGTATCAGAATTTGAAAGCGCGTGGCGCTCCGAAATTTATTTTCCGGAGCGCGCTTCACACGCATCTCTCTTTTGATTACAACAAAAAAACACCCGCGTGTAACAAACACACTTTTTCTATATCGTGTTACGCACGCGACGTTTTTTTTTTGCTAAACGCAACAGCTCCCTGGTTGATCCTGCCAGTAGTCATATGCTTGTCTCAAAGATTAAGCCATGCATGTCTCAGTACAAGCCATATTAAGGTGAAACCGCGAAAGGCTCATTAAATCAGTTATGGTTCCTTAGATCGTACCCACATTTACTTGGATAACTGTGGTAATTCTAGAGCTAATACATGCAAAACAGAGCTCCGACCGGAGACGGAAGGAGCGCTTTTATTAGATCAAACCAATCGGTGGCGGGTTCGCGCTCGTCATCGTACAACTTGGTGACTCTGAATAACTTTACGCTGATCGCATGGTCTAGCACCGGCGACGCATCTTTCAAATGTCTGCCTTATCAACTGTCGATGGTAGGTTCTGCGCCTACCATGGTTGTAACGGGTAACGGGGAATCAGGGTTCGATCCGGAGAGGGAGCCTGAGAAACGGCTACCACATCCAAGGAAGGCAGCAGGCGCGCAAATTACCCACTCCCGGCACGGGGAGGTAGTGACGAAAAATAACGATACGGGACTCTTCCGAGGCCCCGTAATCGGAATGAGTACACTCTAAACCCTTTAACGAGGATCAATTGGAGGGCAAGTCTGGTGCCAGCAGCCGCGGTAATTCCAGCTCCAATAGCGTATATTAAAGTTGTTGCGGTTAAAAAGCTCGTAGTCGAATTTGTGTCCCGCGCCGCCGGTTCATCGCACGCGGTGTTAACTGGCGTGCCGCGGGACGTCCTGCCGGTGGACTTAGCCTTCACGGGCGGTCCAACTCAATCCCACCACGGTGCTCTTTACTGAGTGTCGAGGCGGGCCGGCACTTTTACTTTGAACAAATTAGAGTGCTCAAAGCAGGCTAAAACTTCGCCTGAATACGTGTGCATGGAATAATGGAATAGGATCTCGGTTCTATTTTGTTGGTTTTCGGAACCCCGAGGTAATGATTAATAGGAACGGATGGGGGCATTCGTATTGCGACGTTAGAGGTGAAATTCTTGGATCGTCGCAAGACGAACAGAAGCGAAAGCATTTGCCAAAAACGCTTTCATTGATCAAGAACGAAAGTTAGAGGTTCGAAGGCGATCAGATACCGCCCTAGTTCTAACCATAAACGATGCCAGCTAGCGATCCGCCGACGTTCCTCCGATGACTCGGCGGGCAGCTTCCGGGAAACCAAAGCTTTTGGGTTCCGGGGGAAGTATGGTTGCAAAGCTGAAACTTAAAGGAATTGACGGAAGGGCACCACCAGGAGTGGAGCCTGCGGCTTAATTTGACTCAACACGGGAAACCTCACCAGGCCCGGACACCGGAAGGATTGACAGATTGAGAGCTCTTTCTTGATTCGGTGGGTGGTGGTGCATGCCGTTCTTAGTTGGTGGAGCGATTTGTCTGGTTAATTCCGATAACGAACGAGACTCTAGCCTGCTAACTAGGCGTATTTCGACATCCAAAGGCCCGCCGGTTCGGGGTTTTACGCCCTTGCGTGCGCGGTTTTTTACTGTCGGCGTACAAAACAATTCTTCTTAGAGGGACAGGCGGCTTCTAGCCGCACGAGATTGAGCAATAACAGGTCTTGTGATGCCCTTAGATGTTCTGGGCCGCACGCGCGCTACACTGAAGGAATCAGCGTGTCCTCCCTGGCCGAGTGGCCCGGGTAACCCGCTGAACCTCCTTCGTGCTAGGGATTGGGGCTTGCAATTATTCCCCATGAACGAGGAATTCCCAGTAAGCGCGAGTCATAAGCTCGCGTTGATTACGTCCCTGCCCTTTGTACACACCGCCCGTCGCTACTACCGATTGAATGATTTAGTGAGGTCTTCGGACTGGTACGCGGTGGGCGTTTCGGCGTCGTCGATGTTGCCGGAAAGATGACCAAAACTTGATCATTTAGAGGAAGTAAAAGTCGTAACAAGGTTTCCGTAGGTGAACCTGCGGAAGGATCATTACAGTGCTTTAATTTTTGTCTTTGACAAAAAAAAGTCTTTCGTATAATGAGTAATATATTTCAACACGATACTTTACTCTTATACACTTTACTATTCATTGAACGAATTTGCCTTTTATTATAGGCGATGATGTAGCGACGTTCGAAAAGATAATAAGGAACATTTATAGTAAGATCGAGCGCACACACGTGTATATTACCCGAACGAGGTGTTGTTGTTTGTGTGTAACACACAACCTCTTCCCTCGTCTCGTCGTGTACGCGAGTGCGTATCTTTTTTATAAATCTATTGAAAATCTTTTCGTCGTCCCACCATCATATAATACGTATAATTTTCGAACGCACCACGCCGTATAGCGCTTCTAGTACGCGCGAGCGCGCGCTCGGGGTACGTTCCGACACGCGTATATCGCATAGACATAATATTGTGTTGTATGCGTATGCGTATGTACACACGTGTCTCTACGACGTCGTCGTCTGTACGGATGGCGATATTTTCGACGGGTAACTCTATATGGGAGAAGAACGGAGATATGTCGTCGTGTCCGCACGACTCATTTCCTTCTTTTCCGGTTGTTTTTAAAGATATTCGCCCGTTAGTCGAAATTTCTACGCCATACGAAAAGACGGTACAAGAGGACGACACGTGTTGTACGCTTAATACATACATATATATTCATGTTATGTACAACTCTGTTGTAGTGTTATTTGTACCCCTTGCACACGCGTATGCTATAGAAGCGCGATACGGATAGAATGCGCGCGTACACGAGAGACTTCGTCGGCACGCTCGTTTGTTATAAACGCGCAAAAATAATTTTGCGCGTTTGCCGCGCAAAATACACGAAGTCTCCGTGAGAAATGCGCGCTTTCTTTTTTTATATATTTTCTTTAATAACATTAGCCATTATCATAACAATAAAGACGTATCGATATATATTTTATATATATAGAGATCGTCTAATTAAAAACGATTACCCTGAACGGTGAATCACTTGGCTCGTGGGTCGATGAAGAACGCAGCTAATTGCGCGTCAACTTGTGAACTGCAGGACACATGAACATCGACATTTCGAACGCACATTGCGGTCCTCGGATACTGTTCCGGACCACTCCTGGCTGAGGGTCGTATCAATTTAAAAGACTGCTCGGTTTCCTCTCCGATCTCTGTTCGCGTCGTCGTATTATCTCTTTATCCGAGAGACGACGACGACGACGACGACATGAGAGAGGAGAATGAAACGTCGGAGCGTGTTGGATGTAGACGCGGCGGTACGACGCGACGACGCTAGTTATTATATATTTATTTATGTAATATCGTAAACGTCGTCGTCTTTGTCGTCGTCGCGGCATCTCAAACGCGAAAGCGACGATTCGTTCGTCATACGAACGAATCGTAAACTCACACATAGAACGAACACGCGCGCTGTACGGATAAAAATCGTAATAGCACTACATATATATATATATATATATATATATATGTATATATGCTGTAGTCGTTACGCGTTTCGAACTTGCGCTGCGATCGTCGTGTCCGAGAGAGAAATTATTTTTTCGAGATAACGACGTCTGATCGCATATACGCGCTAAACACTAGAGAACGCTTTCGACTAGTAGTAGTATAGCAGCAGCAGCTATACGATTTAGTATTAGCGATCGCGTGTGACATATATATCTGTGTGTGGTGTTGTGTTGTATATTGTTAACCGACCTCAGAGCAGGTGAGACTACCCGCTGAATTTAAGCATATTACTAAGCGGAGGAAAAGAAACTAACTAGGATTCCCTCAGTAGCTGCGAGCGAACAGGGAAAAGCCCAGCACCGAATCCCGCGGTCGATATCGGGCGCCGGGAAATGTGGTGTTAGGGAGGATCCGTTTATCCCGAGGTCGCGCGGCGAGTCCAAGTCCTTCTTGAACGGGGCCACAGCCCATAGAGGGTGCCAGGCCCGTAGTGGCCGCTGCCGATCGCGGGAGGATCTCTCCTCAGAGTCGGGTTGCTTGAGAGTGCAGCCCTAAGTGGGTGGTAAACTCCATCTAAGCTAAATATGACCACGAGACCGATAGCGAACAAGTACCGTGAGGGAAAGTTGAAAAGCACTTTGAAGAGAGAGTTCAAGAGTACGTGAAACCGTTCAGGGGTAAACCTGAGAACCCGAAAGGTCGAAAGGGGAAATTCATTCGCGTTTCGGCCGTCGGCGATGAGCGGTCGCGCGACGGACGGCGTTCGCGCGTCGTCCGCGCCTTTCGCTTTTCGATCCGGCGTCGAACGCGTGCACTTTTCCCCTAGTAGGACGTCGCGATCCGTTGGGTGTCGGTCTACGGCTCGCGGTGGAGTCCGTGTACGATCGTTTCGGCGATTCGTGCTCGAACCCGCGATGTTCCGGCCGACTCGCTCGACGGTATACAGATGGCGCGAGGCCGCTACTTCTTCAATTAGCGTCCGACCCACGACAAGCACGTTCGATGCTAAGACGGCGATCGGACCTAGCGCCCGGTTCCGTCCCCGGACGACTGTTGGTCGTGCGGATTTCTCGGACAGACCTCGTTTGAAACGCCGATCTGCGACGCTATAGCTTTGGGTAATTTCAGGACCCGTCTTGAAACACGGACCAAGGAGTCTAGCATGTGCGCGAGTCATTGGGACATAACTAAACCTAAAGGCGCAATGAAAGTAAAGATCCGCCTAGCGCGGATTTAGGGAAGATGGGCGGCACGTCTATAAAGCGGCCGCTCCGCACTCCCGGGGCGTCTCGTTCTCATTACGAGAAGAGGCGCACCAAGAGCGTACACGCTGGGACCCGAAAGATGGTGAACTATGCCTGGTCAGGACGAAGTCAGGGGAAACCCTGATGGAGGTCCGTAGCGATTCTGACGTGCAAATCGATCGTCGGAACTGGGTATAGGGGCGAAAGACTAATCGAACCATCTAGTAGCTGGTTCCCTCCGAAGTTTCCCTCAGGATAGCTGGCGCTCGTCTGTGACGAGTTTCATCCGGTAAAGCGAATGATTAGAGGCATTGGGGTCGAAACGACCTCAACCTATTCTCAAACTTTAAATGGGTGAGATCTCCGGCTTGCTCGAACTAATGAAGCTGCGAGAATCGAATCAGAGTGCCAAGTGGGCCATTTTTGGTAAGCAGAACTGGCGCTGTGGGATGAACCAAACGTCGAGTTAAAGCGCCTAAATCGACGCTTATGGGATACCATGAAAGGCGTTGGTAACTTAAGACAGCAGGACGGTGGCCATGGAAGTCGGAATCCGCCAAGGAGTGTGTAACAACTCACCTGCCGAAGTTACTAGCCCTGAAAATGGATGGCGCTGAAGCGTCGTGCTTATACTCGGCCGTCAGCGGCATGTGCGGTCTCGATCCGCGTAAAAACGGATCGGCCATGAAGCTCTGACGAGTAGGAGGGTCGCGGCGGTGCGCGCAGAAGGGCTGGCCGTGAGGCCGTCTGGAGCCGCCGTCGGTGCAGATCTTGGTGGTAGTAGCAAATACTCCAGCGAGGCCCTGGAGGACTGACGTGGAGAAGGGTTTCGTGTGAACAGCCGTTGCACACGAGTCAGTCGATCCTAAGCCCTAGGCGAAAGCCGATGTTGATGTGGCGTTGTTTTATAAATATATGTATGTATGTGTGTATATATAAAGAACACGCCCGTCGGGCGAAAGGGAATTCGGTTCCTATTCCGAAACCCGGCAGCGGAACCGTACAATAGTCGGGCCCTCGCAAGAGAGTTCGTCGGGGTAACCCAAAAAGACCCGAAGACGCCGTCGGGAGACCAGGGAAGAGTTTTCTTTTCTGCATAAGCATTCGAGTTCCATGGAATCCTCTAGCAGGGAGATATGGTTTGGAATGCGAAGAGCACCGCAGTTGCAGCGGTGTCCTGGTCTTCCCCTCGGACCTTGAAAATTCGGGAGAGGGCCACGTGGAGGTGTCGCGCCGGTTCGTACCCATATCCGCAGCAGGTCTCCAAGGTGAAGAGCCTCTAGTCGATAGAATAATGTAGGTAAGGGAAGTCGGCAAATTGGATCCGTAACTTCGGGATAAGGATTGGCTCTGAGGATCGGGGCGTGTCGGGCTTGGCGAGGAAGCGGGTCGCGGCTGACGTGCCGGGCCTGGGCGAGGTGAAACGTTCTGTCGTATGCGTTCGCGCGTGTGCGGTAGGATTGCGGATCCGAACTCGGTACCGTGCCTTGGCCTCCCGCGGAACCGTCTTGCTGCGAGGCCCAGAGTGCGCTCGCAAGGGCGTTCTGGTGTCCTCTTCGGCCGCCATTCAACGGTCAGCTCAGAACTGGCACGGACCGGGGGAATCCGACTGTCTAATTAAAACAAAGCATTGAGATGGCCCCTGCGGGTGTTGACTCAATGTGATTTCTGCCCAGTGCTCTGAATGTCAACGTGAAGAAATTCAAGCAAGCGCGGGTAAACGGCGGGAGTAACTATGACTCTCTTAGGCGGTCAAAGGTTCCTGACCTCCACGCGGTGACTGCTGGGCAACGCTCATCCACCCGCCTTACCTTTGGTTAGGCATTTGAACGAGGATGACGGCTAACTAGGAACCAGCCCCCCGATTACCCGGTCGGGGCCTGTCTGCGGACAGTCATAAGGGGTCGGTATGGAAACCGAGGGCGAGATACAGACCACCTTGTATCTTACCCCTTAGGGGAAGACATGCACTTGGCCCAGCCAGCCAAGTTGCATAGTATCACAGGCTACGACTCGAATAAACATAGCCTCGGAAGATCGGGATGGTGATGGGCCCACACCATCCCAAAATCCTAGACCAGGGGCCCATGATGATGGAAATGGCGATAACAAGGACATTGAGATTTTGCTCCCCTATATAGAAAGGTCATGCCCCCTATGCCTCAAAAGAAGCATTAACATCCTGCACATGACCTTAAATGATGAAATAAAACATGTAAAATCTGATCACAAGGATATACAAATCAGATTCAAATGCAGGATGTGCTCAAAAATGTATATAGCAAAACATGCGGCACTGTGTCACGTCCCCAAGTGCCCGGTGGGAGCTGCTGCGGCAGCCCCACCTCCAGAGTCAACAGACTCAGAGACTGACGGAGTACCAAGTAACAGGCCTATACCCGAATCGGTAGGCGTGGCCTGCCCCGATTGCGGCGAAAGGTACTCCGGCCGCGGTGCACTAACACAGCACCAGCGGCACCGGCATCCACTCACCCGAAACGAAGCTAGGGCAGCGGGTACACGGCGGTCTCCTCGACAAAGAAGATTGGTTATCTTTACTGAAGAGGAGGAACAAATAATGATGGAGTGCGAACTCCGGTACCGGGGTGAGTTGCGTATAGCAATGCGCATGCGGGAGTTGATACCAGAGAAAACTTTGAAACAACTCCGGGACAAAAGGGCCCAAAAATGCTACAAAGAACGGCGTGAAAGGTACCTCGCAGAAAGAGGGATCACAGCGAGCGCTAGTACTGATGATGACAGTACAGAACCAGTATCCACAGACACAGGGGATGGTAGAGCTACCGTCCCCCAAGAAGAAGCGCCCGAAACCAACAGCTGCGAGGAAGCGGGAGTAGGGGTGGCTCCCCTATCCCAGTCCCGGAGCTACTCGACGTATCAGCAGTAGCTGCCATTGCAGGGGGTGAAAATAACGTTAATAATATCACCCCCACCGCCGAAAACATAAGTCCGACTCAGACGCCTGACATGTCAGAGAGGGTACTGAATGTCAGTGTAGATGAGTTGGTATCGCCAGCAGCTTCTCCAGAAGAGACACTTTGGAGACAGGATGTTGCTCAGACTGCCCGTAGCTGCAAGTTGACTCGAGCGGCACAGCAACATCTGGAGGTGAACACGGTCACCCAGCTGCTTAGAAATGCAATCTCCGAGGCTTGCGATTTGCCTATGGGGCAGCCCCAATCGCAAATAGATACTTTACATGATAGAGTCACCGCTCTCTTCGTCAGCGAGGAGCGGGGAGTTGCAGGGCGACGAAAGGGAAGGCGTAGAGGACAAAATAAGAGGGGTAACAGACGGTACCTCTACGCCCGTACCCAGGATATTTACAAAAAAGAGCCAGGCATTCTTGCCAAGCACGTCCGTAACAACGTGGACTGGCTGGAGGAACCAGGGGTAAAAGCTCCAGCCCAAGACGTGCGGGACCTGTACAAAAAGCTTTGGGGCACAAATCCGTCGGAAGTACAGGTGCCCTTCCTGGGAGAGCCCTCCGAACCGGCACTTGGGTTAGGTACTGTGCTAACCGCCGTGACGGTGAAAGAGGTGAACACGCGTCTCTCTCGGATGAAAATGTCCACAGCACCGGGTCCCGATGGTATTAAAAAGGGAGACATTAAACGCGTTCCTGGTGCAAACGAAGTCCTCCAGTTATTTTTCAATTTAATCATGATAAGCGGTAAGATTCCTACCGCCTGGAGGAAGAACCGAACTACTTTGATCCCTAAAGAGGGTAAGGACGGTATGTTAGCTGAAAGCTACCGTCCAATTACAATCTCTTCTTTAATGTCGAGAATTTACTTTGGCATTATTGACAGCAAACTTAGGGCAAAAGCACGGTTCTCACCCAGACAAAAGGGCTTCATGAACGAATCTGGGTGCTTCAACAACATCCACATCCTCAATGAGCTGCTGAGGCACTCAAAAGCCAAGAATGGCCTGGTCGTAACGCAGCTGGACGTGTCCAAAGCATTTGATACTGTGCCGCACCAAGCTATAGGACACGCGTTACGTCGCAAAGGTTTTCCCGAACAGGTGGTACGTATCGTGGAAAATGCATATGAGGATGTAACTACTATTATAGAACTTAATCAGGCGCCAATCGAGATACGCCTCCAGCGGGGGGTCAAGCAAGGTGACCCCCTCAGCCCATTACTATTCAATCTAGTTTTGGAGCCCTTGCTAGATAAGCTGGAAACGAGACCTGGGTACAAAATCGACACAGAGACGCAGATATCGTCCTTAGCATTTGCCGACGATCTGCTCCTAGTCGCGCAAACAGTACCACATGCTAAGGACCAGTTAAGTAGCACGGAAGCATACCTATCGAGTCTAGGTATGAAGATTGCTGCCAATAAATGCCGCACCTTCCGTGTAAACCGTACCAAAGACTCCTGGTACTTAACTGACCCAGGCCTCGAACTCGACAGTGGAGAAGTGATACCGGTAGCGGGGGCCGGCGATCACCTTGTCTACCTTGGATGCAAGTTGTCTCCCTGGGTTGGGGTCACAACCGAGGGCATACGAGCCGACCTTGCTTCAACTCTTAGTCGTGTGCAACGACTAAAGTTGAAACCGCATCAAAAGATAGACTTAATCTCTACTTACATTGTTCCTCATTACCTGTATCAGTTGTCCATAGCGATGCCGGCTATGACACAGATAAAACTGATGGACCAGGAGCTACGGGTAGTGGTGAAGAATATTCTTCACCTGCCGCAGGCAACAACGAACGCCTTATTATACTGCGGTAAGAGGGACGGGGGACTTGCGATCCCGAGGTTGGAGTGGCTCGCCACCTCATCAGCCCTAAAAGCCGGCTTAAAGTTCGTGGACAACCCCGACCCGGCAATGCAAGCTCTTGCCACGGGCACTAAGCTCGAGAGTAGAGTGAGGCGACTCGCTCTCGATGCCCGGA